GAAGTTCTTCATCAGTCTTTACCGTTGCTCGAGCCTCGATGTCTGCATTTCGTTCGATTAACAGTTTCATAACATCAGGTTTATCATAATGAGCTGCGAGGATCAAGGGTGTACAACCCTCAACAAGTAGCTCATCAATCTTGACCGTTGCTCGAGCCTCGATGTCTGCATTTCGTTCGATTAACAGTTTCATAACATCAGGTTTATCACGAAGAGCTGCGACGATCAAGGGTGTACAACCCTCAAAAAGTTCTTCATCAGTCTTTACCGTTGCTCGAGCCTCGATATCTGCATTTCGTTCGATTAACAGTTTCATAACATCAGGTTTATCACGAAGAGCTGCGACGATCAAGGGTGTACAACCCTCAAAAAGTACTTCATCAATCTTTACCGTTGCTCGAGCCTCGATGTCTGCATTTCGTTCGATTAAGAGTTTCATAACATCACGTTTATCTTGAGTAGCTGCGACTACCAAGGGTGTACAATCCTCGAAAAGTGCTTTATCGGTCTTTACCACTGCTCGAGCCTCGATGTCTGCATTTCGTTCAATTAACAGTTTCATAACATCAGGTTTATCACGAAGAGCTGCGACGATCAAGGGTGTACAACCCTCAAAAAGTACGTCATCAGTCTTTACCGTTGCTCGAGCCTCGATGTCTGCATTTCGTTCGATTAACAGTTTCATAACATCAGGTTTATCAAGAAAAGCTGCGACGATCAAGAGTGTACAATCCTCCAAAAGTGCTTTATCGGTCTTTAGTACCACTGCTCGAGCCTCGATGTCTGCATTTCGATCGATTAACAGTTTCATACCATCAAGTGTATCACTTGAAGCTGCGATCATCAAGGGTGTAAGACCCTCAAAAAGTTCTTCATCAGTCTTTAACGTTGCTCGAGCCTCGATGTCTGCATGTCGTTCGATTAACAGTTTCATACCATCAAGTGTATCAAGAAAAGCTGCGACGAACAAGGGTGTACAACCCTCAAGGAGTAATTCATCTATCTTTAGCGTTGATCGAGCTTCGATGTCTGCATGTCGTTTGATTAATATTTTCATAACATCAAGATCGTTTTTATATAGAGCGGAAAGCAAAGGAGAGATATCCTCTAAAACTGATCCGTCCGCATGTTTTATCGATCCTCGAGCGTCAATGTTTGCATTTTGTTTGATTAAGAATTTTACAACATCAAGATGGCGGTTATAAGCAGCAGCAAGCAAAGCTGTACTCTCAATAGCTAAGTCTTCATCCACATCCATGAGCGTTCCTTTAGCATCGATGTCTGCTTCGCCGTACTTTACAAGGATCTTCACCGAATCCAGGTGTCCATTAAAAGCAGCGATGATGAGAGGAGTGGCGATGTAGCCGCCATCTTCTGTCTTTGTTTCCAAAGCAGTTTTTCTTTTGTCAGTCCTTAGCCGCTTTAAGAGACCTTCCAGATCAGGAGAACCGTCGCGAGCAGCGTGATAAACTTTAGTGAGAGTATTCATCATGGATACCTCATTAGCCATTTCACAAAACACACGCTTGCGAAACTTAGAGTTTTTACTAAGGTTTGCTTGTAAGACAATACATTTA